ATATATCACTTTGATTTGACTGATTGTGAGAGAGAGGGAGAGAGAGAAAAGAGAGAGAGAGGGGGAGAGAGAAAGGAAACAACATATTTAAACTGCCTAAAGATGTAGTTTTTTAACCCATATCATAAGTGTTGTTGGTCATATTTGTGCTTGCTGATATTGATTGAAATTATAGTTAGTCCTTGAATAGCAATTTACAATAACATAGCATGAGCGTAAATTTTCACGCTCGAGCGAGACTTTTTACCCACCAATAGGGAACGTGATCTGGGTTTAGACAGTCGTGAGACAGGTTAGTTTTACCCTATTGATGACAGTGTCGCAATAGTAATTCAACCTAGTACAAGAGGAACCGTTGATTCGCACAATTGGTCATCGCGCTTGGTTGAAAAACCAATGGCACGAAGCTACTGTGTGCTGGATTATGACTGAACACCTCTAAGTGAAAATCTGGGCTAGAAGCGATGCATGCGCTCGCCGTCCGCTTGCCGACCCACAGTAGGAGGCGTCTGGCCCTCAAAGGCACGTTTCGTTGGTAAAGCCCACATGGCGAATAAGTCGTGCAGGCCGCCTTAAAGTACAATTCCTATCTAAAGTGGCAGGTAGAATCCTTTGTATTGACTTAAATACACGACGAGGTATTGTAAGTAGCAGAGTGGCCTTGCTGCCACGATCTACTGAGATTCAACACTGTGTCGCTCCGATTGGTCCCTCCCCGCCCCTTTCGTGACCAATTTCCCCCGAGGATGGGAAACAAGTAATATAGCCCAAGTGTGCGACTTGACACACAAAAATGATTTACGTGCTTGCCGAAACGAAATTCCTAAGGCCTAAGTGGAATGCTAACACTTTACGATGAGTTGTAAGTCTTTCATCTGCGCGACGGCCTGGGCTACGGCACTTGGCAAGGCCATGGCCTGGGTATTAAGCACGTGGCCTGCACCGTGGCCAAGGCCGCAGCAATTGTCAGTGTCGCACCCCGGGCTACCACGCACACGACACACGACAAGGCCGCATTTTTGTTTGCATGCGCGCAACAAGGCTATGGCACTTGGCAAGGTCGCGGCCTCAATTGCAAGTGCATGGCCTAGGTGGTGGCACTTGCCAAGGCCGCGACCTCAATTGCAAGTGCATGGCCTAGGTGGTGGCACTTGCCAAGGCCGCGTCCTCACTTGCATGTGCCCGGCCTGGACTGCAAGCACACAGTTAGGGCTCCAGCAAAGGCTGCGTCACTTGCCAAGGCCGCGGCCTAGCTTGCATGCGTGTGGCCAAGGCTGGGGCACCTAGCAAGGCCACAGCATAGGTCGTGGCACAGGCCACAGCCAAGGCAGTAGCACTAGCCGCAACACAGGCCAAAGCCTAGGCCGTAGCATAGGCCGCAGCCAAGGCAGCCAAAGCAACAGCACAGGCCAAGGTAGTAGCACAGGCCGCAGCCAAGGCAGCCAAAGTAACAGCACTGGCCGCAACCAAGGCAGTAGCACTGGCTGAAGCCAAGGTAGCAACCTAGGCTACAGCCAAGGCAGCCAAAGCAGCAGCATAAGCCACAGCCAAGGCAGCTAAAGCAGTGCCACTAGCTACAACCAAAGCTGCTTTATCCACAACCGAAGCAGAGTATATTGCCACAGCGGAAGTTAGGAAAGAGATGTTGTGGTTAAAGCGGTTTCTCCAAGAGTTGGGATTAAAGCAAGAAAAGTTCACGGTACATTGTGGTAGCCAGAGTGCCATACACCTGAGCAAGAATTCACTGTACCATTCTCGCACAAAGCACATTGATGTTGGATATCATTGGATATGAGAAGTGATAGAAAAGTAGTTATTAAAACTGATCAAGATCCATACAAATAAGAATCCAGCTGACATGCTTACAAAGGTGGTTTCGAGAGACAAACTCAAAATTTACAGAGACATTGCCGGGATGGACTTCAAGTGAGAAGTCAGTCATGCATGTAGGTATGGAGGGAGAGAATTGTTAGCTCCCACCCTCATGCATGAAAGCAGAGAGTCATGCAAAGATGGGGTACGGGGACTTCCACCTCAAGTGAAGGAGGTCTGAGCTGGGCATCTGCAAGACCAGCTCTCCATTCTCTTCACGTTTTTGCCTTTGTTGACTCTCACCATTAAGAAGGTAGAAATTTTGGTGGGTTTGCCTCTCTCTCTCTCTCTCTCTCTCTCTCTCTCTCTTTGTGTATAAATAGAGACGGAAGGGAGAGGGTGAATGGATCATCAGAAATTTAAGAGGTAGAGAGCTGTGAGTTGAGTGAGAGTCTTTCTCCTCCTTGTTTTTGTATTTGCTCTGTTTAGTGAAAATTCTCATTTCTGCTCCATGGACGTAGGCATTGGGCCGAACCACATAAATTTATGTGTCTCATTTGTATGTCTGATTGCTTCTTGTTATTTTCTAGGTGTCCATGATCCTAACAGTTATTGGGCAAACAAGTGGGAGAGTTTGATGGTGGTTGATGGTAATGTGGGGTGGGTTAGGAAGGGGGTCAACGGTGGTGATGACGACAATGGAGATGGCAGGAGAGGATGGGGGAGGGTTAGGGATGGTGGATAGGGTATAATGTGGTAGCCGATGGTGAATGGCAAGCCATTGGAGTTATAGAGAAAAAAGAAAGGATGAAAGGGAAGGTAAAAGGTCATTTTTGTCTTTTTGACTAAAGATTTCATATCTTTGTAATTAGTTTTGGACATTTCATCAATATTGGAATTATTGGAAACATCCCAGTAATTTACCATTATTATTTGTCCTTTCCCGTTTTTTCCATTTTGCCCTTTGCTATATTAAATTTTCATTTTCCCCCCTAATATCTTATGAATTGGATGCTTGGATTTTTTTATGAATGTATATTTGTCTCTTTGACCAATTTTTAAGTTTGTCAGAGATAAATTTTCAAGTCATTGGTTATATAATAATTATATGGTATTGTTCTTTATTCTTATAATATATTTATATGTAATATGAAGAAAAAGAATTATATTTTTTAATCCATGTTATTGTATCTTTCGATACACAATACAATACGCTACACAATAATCACGATTCTACAACAATGCTTCCAAATCAAAAGCTTTTTTTAGTGTAACTTCTTTGAGTTGTCAAAACATGCTTATTAGTACAAGCTACATTTTTTTAGGGTAAATTATAAATACACCTCATGAGACTTGCTTAAAATACGAATTATCCCCTGTGGTTCAAGTTTCTAATTGTATAACAAATGAACCTTTTTATTAATAAATTATCAAGTTAATTAACAATTTTTAATGCTGTCAAAAAATATTTCAATCAATAATTAAGATAATTCAATTGTTGTATAGGAGGGTAGTTAAGAATTTCATTTTTCTATTAATTATGCTAAATAAAAAATTCTAACAATAAGGTATTTGTAATTTCCAAAACCATAGGGGGCAATCTATATTTTAAGCAAACCTTAGGGGTGTATTTATAACTTACCCTTTTTTATATTTACCTTCTTTTAAGAAAGATTTTACTCACAGTTAGCTAGTCGTGTTAGTAATATGCTTTATTCTTCATGTTAAAAGGCTCAATAAATGTTAGTGTATTTCTAATCATTTATATCAATTCATATTTCAATATCCACTTGATTTTCTATATATATATATCACTATAATAAAAATCATTTTTCACAACGTATAAAATTGTTGCTAAAAGTCAAAATTTCATCGCTAAATGTCTTTTGCGACAATTATAAAATCACCACCAAGTTGTGGCCATTGCGCTTGAAAACCATGCCTATAAAAGCCAGGTAAAACTTACAAACAAGCCAAAAATTTGAATTGAGACAACAGAGTTATTTCAAAAAGATAACTATGACAATCAAGGAAAAAATTAAATCAAATATAAAGGCAACAAACTTGCATGCAGACATTACAAACAAAAGTCTTCAACCTAGCTTGAGCCAATCTGTCATAATTTGTGGTTACTGTTGCAAATATGAAATGAAATTTCAGTATCAGGGCCGAATAGTTTTCTCTCTCCACTGTGAATGCCCTCACATTCATTGGGGCAAACCACCAGCTTGTCAAAGGGCAAGTTTATTTTTTTCTTCTCCTTTGCACAAATTCTCTTAACAAGGTTATAGTGATGGATTAATCCACTAAGAAAACCCGTTCCTAGTAAATAATAAAATAAGTATAGGGTTTTTTTTCCTTTTTTTTTTTATCTCTCCATATGGATATTGACATAGTCGAGGCTATAACCATAGAACTCTTTCACTTGGGTTCTTTATTTGGGTTTAACTGCCAAGAGGCTACTAAAAACTGAAAGGAAATCCTACTTATTACTCATCTTCAAAAGGAAATCAGGAAATTCAGTATTTAATTTTTTCTCTATCTGCATGGGGTTCAAATAATTAAGTTTTTGTGTATTTATGGAAGATTTCAACATATCTACATTCACCTAAACAATTGAAGATTTCAAGTTTTTGTATATATCAATGTTAATGTAAAAGTTTTGAAAAACTTAACCATGAACCAAGTTTAGCCTCTACAAATGGTTGAACAAAAAAACTACTACTATTTTCTATCCTACAAGTTAGAAGCATGAATACTACCAGCGATCCAAGACATCTGTACCATGATGATATATATGCATGCTCTTTCAATTTAATGGTCCGAACCAATTAGGCCAAAATGATTTAGTTTTCTTTTAGCTATTGTTAAAACCTATTAATGCACTTCTTTTGACCTAGATACTTATATTCAATTATCAGTGTTTGTATGAAAACATAACACTTGTTTTTGAGTTCAATAATATCGTTGATTATGAGATTGAATGCAACTAATATTTCTCGAGAAGGTTGTTGTGGAAAACAAGACAACGACAAGAAGTTTCCCATGATAACAAATCTACTATCAGAACTTTTCCCTAATAAAATTACTATCGACATGCTAAAGGTGCCTAGTATATTTTTAGGTTGTTACCTGTTCACCATGTATTTTTTCAAAGTATCTAACGATAGGCATGCAAAATGACGCAGGATGAGACGCATATGGCTGTCCTAAAGCGTCAATTCCCTAAAGACTCTGAATTCCTAAGAGTAGAGGAAAAATTTATTTGCCTTTGCGATGTAAGAAACTACAAGATGTTATAGTTTGTAATATTTCGTCTTTATGATACTAGCATATGTGTAACATATCTCACAAATAAAATGTGGCATTTTGGTCCATTTTTTCTTGAAGTTATATCTTGTTTTCTACTTTAGTACTAATTAAATTTCATTTTTGTCAATTTTATTGATGATCAGTTGTAGTCATGTGACAAGAGTTATTACTTGTCTTTTATGAATTTGTTTCTTTGGCTCATGATTTGCAACTAAAGATAATTCTTTAATACTTGTTTGGATATGAGTGCTAGCAAACATACTTGTTTTGTGGTTTATTGTCATGGTCGAAATAAGTCTTTTTGGCCCAAATCTCTAGTCCAATCTCAAATCCTACAGTTTGTGTGTAAACACTTTGTTTCTTTCATCCGAATTAGATGCATGAGAGCAATTCAATTTCTTGTAGAAAATAGAATAGGGGATTCATTTTTTGACTAGTGAGTTTATTTGGATTTTGGTATTCTTTGTATTGGATTTTTTAAAAATATGGTTCAACGGCACAACAATTTGATATTAGAAGTTTTATTTACAATTTTATAATGTGATGTCTTTAGTATTTTATTTACATTTTAAATGATAGTTTAATTAGGAGTCTTATTAGTATTTGGTTTCCTATTTTGTGGTATGCATTGAATTGTGATACAAATACCAAATCATACCTCGTAGAAACATCTCTCATGATTCAAGTCACCAACAATATGACTAAAGATCAAATCACTCAGGTCCGATTGGAATTTTTTTGTTCTTATTTTTATATTTGCAATGAAATGTCATTTATCTTTTGTTTTATGAAATTTAAATTATCCCTAATATATTATGAGTTAGATGCTTGGATATTTTTATGAATAATTTGTCTCTTTGGCCGATTTGTAATTTTGTTAGAGATAAATTTTTATGTCATTGGTTCTATATATGAAAAAAAAAAAATTAAAAATCCATATTCATATATGTTAATGGTATGATACACTACACAATACATGAAAGTAATACAATCATACACAATACATCGACAAAAATGCTTTCAAATTAGAAGCTTGTTTTAGTGCAACTTTTGAAGACATGTTTGCATTGTTGAGATGACAAAACATGCTTATTAATATTTTATTTTTGTTTTCTTTTAAAAAGAATGTTTATTTCACTTTTCACCCTTATAATTTAACTCAAATTTCACGTTGGTCTTTATTGTTTCAATTTAAATAATTTGGTCCTACATTTTATGTTCAGTTTCAAAAATCATAAATTGACAGGTATCCCAAAATCATAAATTTTAGCCTCCAATTCGAATGAAAGGACCAAATTGAAGCTGAAATTAAAGTGTAAGGACTAAATTGTTCAATTTGAAATAAGAGGGACCAAAATGAATTTTGATTTAAACTGTATGGGCGAAAAGTGTAGTCAACACTAAAAGACTTTCTCACAAACAACTAGTTAAAATCAAATTTTGATGTTAGTGATATGCTTTATTTTTCATGTCAAAAGCCTCAATAAATGTTAGTGCACTTCTAATCATCTGTATCAATTCATATTTCAATATCTACTTGATTTTCTAAATAAAATTTTGTTAATAAGAACATAAATTATAGGGGGCTTTTATTGGCCAAGTTGGTTTTGCTACCTTAAATTTTCTTTGCTTACTTGTGTCACTAACACTTAGGCATTGGCTAGTAAATTTATTATCTATTTCTTATCAAGACCACTCCAACCCAAAGTTGTTACTCTTTTCCACTTTAGTTAGGAACATACCAGTGTGACCAAAAAATTATATCTTATCTTTTTTCCATCTTGTGTTTCATTGTTTGGGGTTCCTTATTGTTTGAGGTTGTATTATTTGCTTGAGGTGTACATTTCCATGCTTAGAAAAAACTTTGATTTTGTTTTGTAATATAAATCAAGAGTAAGGTTATTAATGACAAATCACACAAAAAGGCTATTTCGGGCAAAAGAAATAATTGGTAAGGTTAGAATAGATGTTGTTTATATATAGAGTGTCTTCTGTTGTTATTAGTAAGGATATTATTGTCGTTATGTTATTTAATCAATATAAATATGGACTGAGGTGGAGGGTATGAAGCACAACCCTAATCCCTATTCGTATAATTTTTGTTTACTCTTTGTCTTCTCTATTCTTTTTCTCTCTATCCCTAACCTTAATCTCACATATTATATAATTCAACTGGTAAGACGATCAAACCCACCCTATCTTTTGTATGATCTCACTTTCCATTTTTTTATTTGCTTCGCCCCAAATTCTTGAGCCTCAGTCCTAGTGAAGATCTAGGGATTCAACTTCAATTTGATTACAAGTGAAACAAGGAAGGAGGTTTTTGGTTGGGTAGCAAAGCATTGACATTTGAAATTCGATATGACTTGTTGGAACAATCTTTTATATACAATAAATAAATTAAAACAAAATCAAACAAATAAAATAAAGAACGTACCGAATTTATTTTTACCGAACCAAATGAATATTTAAAGACCAAGTCGAGTGTATGACACTCTGTCCTTAAGACAGATTCGCCCTGCTATGGTGCTTACGGTTATGTGGCGTCTATCTCCCAATATACAATGATCTTCACAAATTTGTAGTAGCATTCCAGACAAATTTGTCTGGTGAACTAGAACCTAGTGTTCTATAACTCTCTGAAATTTTTCCTAAAATAATATGAAGAATAAAGGATGCAAAAATGATAGCAAGGAAAATGAATTTTTGGAATGAGAGGTTGCTGGAAAGTGGCCTGCTATTTATAGACCTAAACAGGTTCAATTATTCAAACTGAACGGGTGGAATTTGAATCCAGCAGGTGCAACATTTAAATTGAACAGATACAACACTATTTCAACAGATAACTACTGGACAGTTAAATCTGTTGAAACTGCAGCAGTTTAAAAACCTGTCTAGAACATTTTGAATCTGTCTGGTAGTTTGAAATTGTCCGAAAAATTGAATCTGATGAACCTTAGTTTGAATCTATTCAATCTGCCTAACAGATATACAACTGCTTTGAATAGATGCAGTTCAAAAAAATGGACAGATCTACAGAACTACTGGACAGATTTGAATCTGTCTGGGCAGTTTTCTAACTGTTCAATAGATGGGAAATTTAGTGGAATTCGGATCTGAAAAGAAGCACAAAAATTGGACAAAAATTTGAATTTCAAATTCAAATTTGGAATTAAATTCCTGCAATAATTTTTGAAAAAATTCAAAAGAATTTTGTCTAAAAAATTAATATTAGAACCGACCCGACCCACAACCGTGCCCGGCACAGCTCGGCTCGACCAAACGAAGGGACAGTAGCGGCGCGTGCGCGCGTGTGTGGTGCTTTGGGCTAAGGTTTTATTTGTCCATAACTCCTCCCTTCTACAAACTTGGGATGCCCCTTGGGGCTCAACCCAAGTATTGTACTGTAGAGATTATATACTTACAAAAGCTCTCTTAAAGTTTCAATATGGGACAACCAAGAAACTTACATTTACTTCTTTAAATTTCCCATTCCATGATCCCAAAAACGACGTCAACTTTCCATTCACTCATAAATGGTTTTGACGAACCGTCTTTACCATGTGACTTGCCATGCGGCAAGGAACACGTCACCTTTTCGGACCCACTCCAAAAGACGTTTGGGCCCTCTCAATCTTGGGCTCAAAGTAGGCCCAAAATAAGCCTTTATAAAACCAATTTTCCAACAATCCCTCACATGAATGAAATTTGACGGAGAGAAAAAGCAACAACATGATCTAATTACAAAGAGTACAGAAATTAGAAATATTCTGCAAAGGATAGGTAGCTTTTGGCTTTGAACCTTCCCTTGTGAGACACTATCGGATTCACTAGCTAACCAGTGAACATGATGTCTTGAACTGTTCAGCTATTTGTGTAAACCAAGACAATAGAACTCACACAGTATATCCCCAGACACAGTTTAGTTCTCACTATTGTGTTCATTTTGGCTCTGAATAACCTGGTCTTTCACGAGTGCTTTAGAGAATTGTAGCCCTTCACAAATCTCATAGAACCGGCCTAGTTCACACTCACATAGGTGATTCTTATGAAAAGTATCCTGCCATACTCCACTAGGTTTATCTAGATATAAGAATCATTAAAACTTTACTTAACCTTAAACACTGCAGACATCACTATTTCATCATAGAAATGGGTAGGAGTTTGACTCCTAGATGATCCTTATGAGTCATTCACAACTCAGTTGTCTCTTTGAACCTAGATCTTGGGATCTCCAGTAAACTAGGTTGGGTTGCCGTTATGGTAACCCTTATTTAATAGGCTTTAGTCCCATTCCCCTCAATGAATTCTCAACTAGCTCTCTTGCTAACCCTTTGGTTAGTGGATCCGCTATGTTGTCTTTAGACTTCACATATTCAATGGAAATAATTTCATTAGAGAGTAATTGTCTTACAGTATTATGTCGACGACGAATGTGTCGTGACTTACCGTTATACATATGACTCTATGGTTTACATATTGCTGATTGACTATCACAATGTATACATATAGCAAGCACCAGTTTTGGCCATATTGGAATATCTTCAAAGAAGTGGCGAAACCATTCTGCTTCTTCCCCTACTTTGTCTAAAGCTATGAATTTTGATTCCATAGTAAACCTAGCAATGCAAGTCTGTTTGGAAGATTTTCAAGATACAGCCGCCCCACCAAGAGTAAAGACATACCCACTGGTGGACTTTGAGTCTCTAGTATCCGATATCTAATTTGCATCACAGTATCCTTCAAGTACTACTAGATATCTAGTATAATTAAGCCCAATGTTACGAGTAAATCGAAGATATCTAAGAACCCTTATAATAGCTTTCTAGTGTTCTACTCCTGGATTACTCGTATATCTACTTAATTTACTTACTGCATAAGCTATATCTGGGCGAGTGCAGTTCATCAAGTACATTAAGCTTCCAATAATTTGGGTATACTCTAATTGAGAAATACTTTCCTGTACATTCTTAGATAGAAACAAATTAACATCTACAAGTGTTTTAGCAAGATGATCATCATCTTTGCTAAATTTGTCAAGTATTTTCTCAATGTAATGAGATTGTGACAAAACATAACTGTAGACGCGCCCTTAGGCTTCATGCTACAGTTCGGACTCAAATGTCACGGTTTTAAATCTAATCCCGCAAAGTGCAATGCGAGACCGACAAATCACCAAAGAGTCCAAATCC